GATTTCTGAGTCTCATCCTCTGGAAATTCTGTTTCTTTGTTACTAATGTTGTGGCCTCACCTGTGGGAGCGCACTGACCCCAGGGGGCAGCTCCTGCATTGAGTGTCTGTCTTCTGGTGGTCAGTGTATGTCATAGTGACCAGTCATTCCCAGTCGTTCTGCTGTTAGGATCAATTTGCATATTACCCTTTTACTATATAGGATAGAGGCCTGGTGCACAGGTGGGGGCCGGCTGGTTTGCCCTGAAGGGTGTCCCAGATCAGGGTGGGGCTCCTGCTGGGGTGCTTGGCCAGCCTGGGTGACGGCTGAGGGCTGTTTTCAGGTTGCCCACAGCCCCTTCAGGGTAGGGGGGTCCCGCTGCGGTGCCGGGCCAGCCTGGGTGAGGGGCTGTGGCCGTTTTCAGGCTGGCCACGTCCCCCGGCGACCCAAGTTTCCAGCCTCTCCTTTTTTTTTTTTTTTCTTTTCGGCGGGCTGGAAGCAGGTATCTGGGATTTATTTATCTTCTATAATTGAAACTTTGTAGCCTTGAGCGGAGCCCAGGGCCGGCCAGGACAGGCAGGAAGTTTGGCTTCCTCCATCGCCGGGGGCAACCCAAGCCTCCTGCTCGCACCAGCTCAGTGGCCTCTGCCATCTTAGTTGGGTTAATTTGCATACTTGCTCCTGATTGGATGGTGGGCGTGGCTTGTGGGTGTAGCAGAGTGGTAGAGTGATGGTTAATTTGCATGTTTCTCTTTTATTAGTGTAGATTATTCACTAACAAGCCAGTTACTATACTATATTTTTTTCTTTGTACAACAGTTATAGTATAGTAACTGGCTTGTCAGTGAACAATATAGAATGGCTTAAATTAAACAGACTGACTGCCAAATGTTGCAAGAATTTGGAGCCACAGAAAAGCTCATCCACTGAAATTGATTGGGAGGTTTTTTATTGTTGTTTTTATTTGTTTTGTTTTTAGTTAAACTTCTATTACATGATAGCCATCTACTTCTGGATATTTATTCAAGAGAAACAAAAACATATTCCACATAAACCCGTGTACACAGCAGTTCTTACATCTTTATTTGTAGTATCCCCAAACTAGAATCATCATAAATGTTTACCATTTGTATAAAAAATGTGGTATATCCATACAATGAAATATTTATTAGTAATAAAATGGAATGGAATATTGATGCATGTAACAGCACTAATGAATTTCAGTCATTATGTTAAGACTGAAAGAAGCTAAGCTCTAAAATATGTTATATGATTCTGTTTATAATACTAGAAAATGCAAACTAATCTAAAGTGACAGAAAGCAAGTCTATAGTTGCCTGTGGCTAAAGGTGAAAGGAACATCTCTCCATCGCTAAAGTGCATGGGGGAACTTGGGATGTCTCTTTATTGTGGCAGGTGTAATGGGTATATGCTTATGCCCAAATGCATCGAATTGTACACATTGAATGGATGCATTTTTTTATACTTAAACTATGCCTCAGTAAAATTTGTAAAGTGAAACAATAATTTCATGCATTCATGAATTTATTAGTAGTGACATCATGGTTACCAATTTGTCATCTTCATAAATTCTTATCCTATGTAATAAATAGGTAATATGCAAATTGACTGTCACACCCTCACAAAGATGGCTGCCTACAACCAGGCTGGCAGGGGGGTTAGTGAGGGACAACCAAACGACTGACCAGCAGGCTGCGTGGGGCGACCAGGCCAGCAGGGGGGGCCGTGAGGGGCAACCAGGCTGGCAGGGGGGGCAATTTGGAGCCACCAGGCCGGCAGGGGGGCCAGTAAGGGGTGACCAGGCTGGTGGGGGGGCAGTTAGGAGTGACCAGGTAGGCAGGGAGGGGGCAGTTGGGGGCGACCTGGCCGGCAGCGGGGGGCAGTTAGAGGCAACCAGGCAGGCAGGCAGGTGAGCGATTAGGAGCCAGCAGTCCAGGATTGTGAGAAGGATGTCCGACTGCCAGTTTAGGCCCAATCCCCGAGATTGGGCCTAAACTAGCAGTCAGACATCCCCTGAGGGGTCCCAGATTTGAGAGGGTGCAGGCTGGGCTGAGGGGACACCCCCCACCTCTGTGCACGAATTTTGTGCACCGGGCCTCTAGTTAGATAATAAAGATTGAGTTGCAAAGTGAATAGTGCATTTAATTTGTAATAGGTTCCATATAATTCTAAAGCACTTTTCTATGATATAGATTTAATAACTCTTTAGCTAAAATTATGTTTTGCATATAGATCATGATATGTAATATATGTATTTCTCTAATTGTAAACATATTATGAGTTTATATGATAGTTCATACATGTAGCATAAAATTTCACTGTAAAATATTTTATTATGTTTTATTTCTTTGAAGAACATATATTATTTTTTAAACCATAAATTTATTGTTAAAAAGTGCATGTTTTTGGCAGGCTAAAATTCTGCTTTTTACTCTGAATATTTATAAGCTGAAATATCCTCCTTAAAACTTCACATAAAATCTGAAATGTAAATATTTGTTCAGCATCTTTTAATTTCATATTTTTCTTGTTTCAGCTCTCGAACATCTTCAAATAAAGAAGTTGTTATAAAGAGTGGTAAGACCTACAGTTGCCCTTATGATTCCTTGGGGGGTTGAGGGAAGGCTTTGTCTGTGATGGCCTTCCATGAACACTGGTGCTTGCACCAGGAGTCTCTCCTGTGAAAATCTCTTAAACTTGTGTATTCTAAATTATGAGTCAAAAGAGGCTCAAGCCTGGTATATTTCACAGTGCTTAGCATGTTATTATCACTGTGATACCCGAACTGGAGCCGAAGGTCTTCCCGGGATCGTGTCTTTCAAAGTTGAATAATAAAATCATGAACAAAACGACTAATGAAACCAAGGTTTATTAGGAGAAGCCAGTCCTGGAAAAGGTGTAGCTGGGGTTCCAAGAACAGCCCAGTGTCCGGAACTCCCTTTCCATGTTACAATTGGGAGTAATTTAGTATCCAAGCGAATTAAAGTCTAATAGTCCATGTGTGGAGGCCCACATGGCCATAAACCAAGTGGACGCAGGGATGTGCTCTCCTGCCACAGGAACAAACATCAGGAACCCATTGCATGCCAGGGAGAAGAGAGAGAACAAGAGGAAATGTGCAACTTTTAATTTAGGGGGTGGGTAGTCTTGCTAGCTCTTAATTGGTCTTTTCAAAGAATTCTGCCTTAGCAATATCCTTTGGATTGGTTTATGTGCTGTCAGAGCACGTAGCAGGAGCCCTGCATGAGCTCTGGTGCTCTGAGTTGTTCTGAGTGGCTATGAGTTTATGAATTTTTTAAAAAAATTTTTTATTTGACTACTAGAGGATCGATGCACAAAAATTTGTGCACTCGAGAGGGTCCCTCAGCCCGGCCTATGCCCTCTCGCAGTCTGGGACCCCTTGGGGAATGACCACCTGCTGGCTTAGGCCCGCTCCCTGGGGGATTGGGCCTAAGCTGGCAGTCAGACATCCCTCTGGCAGCCCGGCAGCCCTCGGGGGATGTCCACTTGCCAGCGGGGAGCAGGCCTAGATGCAGTGGGACATCCTTAGCGAGGCTGAGGAGGCAGGAGAGGCTCCCACCACCACCGCTGTACTGGCAGCCGTCAGCCTGGCTTGTGGCTGAGCAGAGATGCCCCTGTGGGAGCACACTGACCACCAGGGGGCAGCTCCTGCATTGAGCGTCTGCCCCTTGGTGGTCAGTGTGTGTCATAGTGACCAGTGATTCCCAGTCGCTCTGCTGTTAGGGTCAATTTGCATATTACCCTTTTATTATATAGGATGTCAGGGCTGGTTCCTGCTTGAACCCTGCCCACTGTACTAACTGTTGGGAACTTAGTCCCTAAGTTCCTCCTTTATTCTCTGCTTACTGGTAACAGGTGTTGGGCCTGAACCCCTCTACCTAGGGCTAGACCTCCTAGGACACTGGGTCTTAGCCGAAGAAGCCATGAGAGGTTGTGGGTATATAAGAATGAGTCTTTATTGCTGAAGCCAGTGGCCATATAACCATCATACAAGAACAGTTCTCACAGCAAAGTCCATACAGGCAGGCAGCCGGACACCAGCTGGTAAATGCATATCTTTCCCATAAAGCAGCATTAGTCTCTGTACCCATAGCTGAGCAGCCACACGCTGCCTCCTAGACTTACTGTCTCACATCATAGTGGTACCTGACCTCTCTGACTCAGCAGCTTCTCCTGTCTCTCCTGCCCAGCTGCTCTCTCTAGCAGACTTCTTCTCACTCCATCCTCAGCCGACTCTAGCCTACTCCAGCCAACTAGCTGGTCAGTAACCTACTTTTATTTATTTTTATTTATTTTTCTAAAATATATCTTTATTGATTTCAGAGAGGAAGGGAGAGGGAGAGATAGACAGAAACATCAATGATGAGAGAGAATCATTGACCGGCTGCCTCCTGCATGCACCCTAATGGGGATCGAGCCTGTAACCTGGGCAAGTGCTCTCGACTGGAGTCAAACCTGGGACCCTTCAGTCTGCTCTATCCACTGAGCCAAACCAAAGAAGGCTTCGTGCCAACAGTGACATCAATCATATTGACTACAGAAGGACACAGTGTACCATGTGTCCTTGCACCCACTCATGGTATCTTGGCCTGATCAGAATTCCCAGGCTCAGAGTCCTTGGACATTCCAATTAGACTTATGCTCAGAGTGGCCCTTGGTCATTCTAATATATTAATAACAAGGCCTTAATGCTCCGACCGGCCTTGACTATCCGGGGACCTGGCATGGTTCCCACATAAGCTTTTCTGCCTTGTTATTGATTATCTATACGCTGCTGTCTTAACAACATCCATACATTTTAAAGTTCGTGTCATCGGGAGGGCCCTTCCTTCCCCGCCCTGTTGGGGTGCTTTAGCCTATTTCCTTTTCCGTGGTCCCACCCCTGTCTACCTAGCTTCCTTCTGTCCCCTCAACTGATTTACATGAATCAATCGATGACATTCAGCCTTTGTACTCCTCTCATTTATTTGACAGATCAACAAAATAATGGAGATATGAAACCAATCCAGAATTTCACAACAATACCAGTCACACAGGTATGGATATGTTAGGAAACTAAATTATGTCTTTAAAAATTTTAAGCATTTCAATCAGGTCAGAGCCACTGTGAAAATAAAAGTAATTCTATTAATAAATAATATTCTGCTTGAGCTTTGGGTGGGGAAATGTATTATGGTAATCTTATAGTTGAGAAAAACTAAAGTTTCACTTCTCTTACATATTTCATTACAATAGTTAGTTTTACTTTTTTTTAGTTAGTTTTACTTTCGTTGCTTTCTAGAGGGAATCACTATAGGACCATTTTATCTTTGGTTACAGGCAAGCTTGCATTGCTGCTGCCTGTTAAATTTCTCTTTGTACTTACACTGGAGGAATTGGTATGGAGTAGTTATCTAGATAAGTGGATCTTCTTTCAGATATATCCCTGTCTTTGTGACCTCCAGAGTCAGGTATGGAAGTGCCTTGTCTTAGGCTTCCTGGAAATCAGCAAAGGTTTCATAAGAATTAAAACAGTGTTAGAATACTAGTTTGCTAGTTTATGTATATTAAGTAATCTGGAGCTGGCACTGTCCAAGACAGTAGCCATTAGCCACATGTGGCATTTTAATTTAAATTCCAAAGTAATAATGCTAAGTAAAATGAAAGGTTAAGCACTTTAGTTGCACTGGATACATTTCCAGTGCATTATGCCACACCAGCCTTTGGACAGTATAGATATAGAACACATCCAGTATTGGAGATTGTTCTGTTGGACATAATGGTCTGGAGAATTATGCTTGATTTCTAAAAACCTCTTGTTTTCTTTAACATTAATTTCTTTATTTAAAGTCCTACATTATTTGGGTTCTTCTGATATTATTTTCTGATGAGAGTACTGCAATTATCATGACATGATGAAGTTTTTAAATTAATAGACTTAAGTTTACAGAAAAAAGTGGACAAAAAGTATAGAAGGTTCTTATATACCCTCTCAATTCCTCCCTCCTCCAATTTTTCCTATATTTAACATCTTTCATTAGTGTGGTACATTTTTTAAAATTGATGAGCCAATATTGATAAATTATTATTCATTAAAGTCTATCGTTTACACTAGGATTTATTCTTTGTGTTGTACATTCTGTGAATTTGAACAAATATATAATGTTATCTATTCACCATTACAGTATTATACAGAATAATAGTTTCATGGCCCTAAAAATCTGCATCCCTGCTTTCTGCCCCAGCAAGTGACATTTTAAAGTCTATATTGATAATGTTATTGGAAAAGTTGGGTTTTTGTTTGTTTGTTTTTTAATTTGGTCTTTTCCATTTTTGGTGCTTTGTGGAAATGGGTTCATGTACCTTTCAAGTATACTTATCTTGTAAGGCTTGCTATGATCTGGTCCACTTATCTCCTTTGTCCCATAATAATATGGATTCTGGATAGAGAGATCAATTTCAATAGTTTGTGAATTAGCCCTTTTGCTTCCAGAAAGCATTTTGTCTCTTATTTTGTTTATTTGGTTAATTAGGCCCTGAACTACAATCTGAGCAGACAAGGGCATTTAGTAAAAGAACCTTGGAATGCATTCAGCCATGACAGCCCAGTTAATGTCTCCATGGATGGAATCCCTTGCATTCTCTTTTGGGCCAAAAGAATAACAATTAAGTTTAAGAACCAGATCTGGCTGGACCTTACAGAGGAAACTTTTGGCCAGAAGGCAACAGTGGATGCTACCAACTCAAATTGCAGTGAAGAAAGTGCCAAGTAAGTTGACCATTTCATCAGATGGTTCCTTTTGGGTTATTGTAGTCTATTAACTGGACCGTCCAGTTTTCTGTCATTTCAGAACAAAGAAGTAGGTTCCTTTGTATATGACCTGACACACATCCATCAGGAAATTTTTAATAATCTACAATGAAGACCAAGTCAGAAATTAATTTTTAAAAATGTGTTAGTTTTTTGTCTCAGCACTTTTCTTCTGAATCATTTAGCTGATTATTATCTTGTGGGAAATCAGGGCTCCGAAAATGAAAGTTGTCAAATGCATTCTGAAAAAGAGAAAAGGATTCCAGGCATGATATCAGTTCCAAATGTGAGATGTCAAACTGCGTTGGTCTCATCAGGGAGGAAATTTGATATCACAGGGCAGAATCATTCCAGTGGGTGAATGAAGAAGACTGATCCTGTATATACCCAGGAGAGGAATTGCTGGATCCTGCTCAGTTCTGAAGTTGCAGAACATGGTCTGTTTAAAAATATGCTAGGGTACCTTTAAATGGCCAAATGTCAGATAATTCTTTTTTTTAAATGAAATTTATTGGGGTGACATTGGTCAACATGAACATATAGGTTTCAGGTGTGGGTTACTATGTTACAAGATCTTTATATTGCACATGTGCTCACCACCCAAAGTCAAATCTTCTCCCTCCTTCTCTCCCCACCCCCTTCCCTCTGGCAACCATCACATGCTGTTTGTGTTCATGAGTTTCAGTTTTATATCCCACATATGAGTAAAATCATATCGTTCTTACCTTTTTCTGACTGACTTATTTCACTTAGCATAATGTTCTCAAGGTCCATCCATGTTATTGCAAATGGCCCTTTTTCATTCTTTCTTATGGCTGAATAGTATTCCATTATGTATATGTACCACATCTTCTTTACCCAACCCTCTATCTCGGGATACTGGTTGTTTCCATTTCTTGACCACCATGAATAATGATGCAATGAACATAGGGGTGCATATATCTTTGCAAATACATGATTTTGAGGTTTTTGGGTATATACCCAGGAGAGGAATTGCTGGATCAGAAAATTGAGAACAGATAATCCTTTAGGACATTTCAAAGTGATTAGAATAATTACATTTGATTTGACATAAGCAGATTAAACAAATATGCCTTTAGAGGAGGAAATCAATTGCCAATGCCTTTCTCTGCTTTTCAGTTGTCCAAGCAAAATTTTTTGCTTGTATTTGTTTTGGTCCAGGGGGAGGAAGTCTGGCATGTCCCACTTATTTCCTGAAAATCTTCTTGCTTTCAATATTTACTGGTATAATGGAGGATTTTGGAAGATTCTGTTCTGGTCTGGTTTAGATGGGCAGAATGCTTTATATAAACCATAACATACTGTGTGTGTGTGTGTGTGTGTGTGTGTGTGTGTGTGTGGTCTTTTTATATTTATATACTTTGGCTGAAAACACTTTTTTCTTGAACTTCAAAAATTCTTGATGTTGGGTAAAATGGCTTATATTAATATAAACTTACAAGTTTTATTACAAGTCTTAGTAAGTACCTTGTTACTCAGAATAAAGCTCTTATTAGGGAACTATGGAATTGTAAGCATCCAGGGTCCTCCCAGATTTGTTGATTCTGTTGCAGCTGACTATCAGAGACTCCAGTACTGCTGAGAGTTTAGGAATCTTTCCTCAGACACTAGTCAGTTCCCTACAGGGCTTGTTATTGGCAGTCAGCTGCTCAGAGAGAGGCTGATTGCCTGGGGATGTCTTGCCTATCCATGTCTGACTGACCCTCCATGATTCCATTTATTCTGATCTGAGGCTATTTGTGGGGAAGAACAGAGCACCATCGGATTTTGCTGGGCTTTAGAAACCACAATGATCACTGGGATCCCACAGAAAGAATGAAAACTTGGCTTCTAACCCGAGTTCTGCCAGTGAGCTCTGTGACTTTACAAAACTGGAGCCACAATAGAATCATCATCTGTGAGATGGAGGTGATGGCATCTATTAACTAACAGCCAGGAGCACTTATAACCATGGTCCAGGTGTTGTGCATGGACTTCACAAGCTTGATGTTTGATATTCCTCACAGTACTATTGCCAATAAGTCCCCGAGTCACAGGTACTATTATTGTCCATGTTCCAGATGAGAAAGTCAAGGCATCTAGAGCTTAGAAAACTTGCTAAGATTATACAGCTTATATGGTAATAGGGCTGGGGTCTAAAACATCTTTAATGATGACATTCAACCTCCTCGTTCTTGGCCCTACTTCTTAAGGTAGTGAAAATCAAATAAGGAAATATATGGATAAGAACTTTGAAAACTTGTCAAGTGTTACTCAAAGTATCTTATTTAATAAAAGCCTAATATGCTGAGTGTCTGGTCATCTGGTCGTCCATTCAACCAATCAAAGCGTAATATGCTAATGATATGCTAAGGCTGCTCAACCACTCACTATGACGTGCACTGACCACCAGGGGGTAGACCCTCCGACCGGTAGGTTAGTTTGCTGCTGGGGTCTGGCTGGGACTGAGTGAGATGGGCCAGACATGCCCTGGAGCCCTCCCTGACTGGCCAACCTCCCGCATCCCTCCCTGGCCCTGATCATGCACTGGTGGGGTCCCCCAGCCTGGCCTGCACTCTCTTGCAATTCAGGACCCCTCAGGGGATGTCAGAGAGCCAGTTTCAGCCCGATCCCACAGGCCAGACCTCTAGTATGTTAGAAGACCTTCCTAACATACTAGTGGTAACTAGTGTAAAATAGTGTGTAGTTACCTGGCGGAGAGGCCCAAAGAAGTTTTGGGTTTCACAATGCACACATTAATGATTGGGTGGAACCTGACTTTTTTCTTCTTGGTCATCGCTCTAGAATTATACTCAGGGCAAGAACTGAGTGTGCAGCATCTGCTTCCTCCACGGGGATAAGGGAGGCTTCCCAGGATGTGAGGTGGTCAAGGACCAGCTGCTGAGACTGAGTGTCTGTCCCTGATTCCTGACTGAGCATGCAGTGCTGGCTAAAAACTCATGTCCTCAAGAACCAGAAAGGGAGTTGCTAAAAGAAAAAACTTAAGCAAGGTCATGTAAGGTCAAAAGCACAGATTTTAAAAAGATGAACATGTTTTAGTGCTTGAAAACACAATGTTCAGGGAAAGGCAAATTGTTGGCAGACAGATTTCCAATGGAAGTCTTGTTAAATAGTCAAAGCCCTACAAATAGAGCATAATCCTAGTATCTGTCTATATTTTGAATTAGGCAGTTATAGTCTGAAGAATTCAGAATCCATTTTAAACATGGGAGGTAGGGAGTTTGGAGGAGTAAAATAAGCTCCTTTTTGAGTGACTTGCTAGGTTGCATTTCTCCTGTGTGTATAGTTTACCACGCATTGCCTGGCACTTAACGGTTGCTCACCGAATGGTCATTGAATTTGCTTTGTTAAAATCAGGTCTCATGTTCTTTTTTAAAAATTGATTTTCTGAGAGGAGAAGGGAGAAGGAGAGATAGAAACATAAATGATGAGAATCATCAATCCTGCACGCCCCCTACTGGGGATTGTGCGAGTGCCCTGACCAAGAATCCAACTGTGACCTCGTGTTTCATGGGTGGATGCTCAACCACTGAACTACACCAGCAGGCCTCATGTTCTTTACTCTGCAGCGGAGCATGTTAACAGCTTTCACTAAAACCAGGACTGCTGGAGAAAACTCAAGTGTCAGAAGCGTGGGGGCTGTTGAGCTTCTCCCTCAGGAGAGGAGGACAGAGATTAGGGCATCTCAGCATGGCTTTGCTTTAGCAGCGGTTCTCAACCTGTGGGTCGCGACCCCTTTGGGGGTCGAACGACCCTTTCACAGGGTCGCCTAAGATCATCGGAAAACACATATATAATTACATATTGTTTTTGTGATTAATCACTATGTTTTAATTATGTTCAATTTGTAACAATGTAATTGGGGGTCACCACAACATGAGGAACTGTATTAAAGGGTCTCGGCATTAGGAAGGTTGAGAACCACTGCTTTAAGGTTTAGTTTGTTAGCTGTGGAGCCAGTTCATGGGCAACTACACTATTCTGATTCCTTGGAAGAAGTGACCAAATTCACAAAGTACTACTCAAGAAATGCATTTTAGTGCTTTAAAATATTTTCAGTAATTTGTAATAGACTATTAAAAATATTGCTGAAAACTTACTTTACTGAGTAAATTACCCTGTAAAGTATTTGTAAATGAGTGTATCTAAGGTGGTAAGCTTTTGATTTTAGATAAATAAAATTTTTCTCTTAACAATCTTATTTATAAAATTTATTCTTAAATATTCCTCTCCCCTTTTCCATAATAGTATTAAAATCACTTCACTCAGTCACTGACATTTTTATATCTTGATAAGTAAAACCAAATTAATGAGATTATAAATGTGCAGTATTTTTAAAGCTTCTAATTGGGCATTTTATTGCTTTTTTGGTTTTATAATGAGATATGATAACTTCTATACATTATAATGTCATACAGCATTGGAATCCTTTGTGCATTTAAATTTTTTATATTTTTCACTTTCAATTATTTATTTAGCTTTTTATCATTCATATTTTAACCTATTGAAATGTAAATGAAATACACTAAATAGCACTTATTTGAAGTGTACAATTTGATCAGTTCTGACATATGTGTATACCTATGAAACCGTCACCACAATCAAGACAGCAAATGTCCATATCACCCTTTAAAGCAGCGGTTCTCAGCCTGTAGGTCGCGACCCCTTTGGGGGTCGAACGACCCTTTCACAGGGGTTGCCTAAGACCATCGGAAAACACACATATAAGTACATATTGTTTTTGTGATTAATCACTATGTTTTAATTATGTTCAATTTGTAACAATGAAAGTACATCCTGCATATCAGATATTTACATTACGATTCATAACAGTAGCAAAATTACAGTTATGAAGTAGCAACGAAAATAATTTTATGTTTGGGGGTCACCACAACATGAGGAACTGTATTAAAGGGTCGCGGCATTAGGAAGGTTGAGAACCACTGCTTTAAAGTTTCCTTGTGCTTCTTTGTAACCATCACTCCTGCCCTCCCACCTCTCTAGGTAACCACTGATCTGCTTTCTGTCATTACAGACTAGTTGGTGCTTTCTAGAATTTTATGTAAATACAATCATATAGTGTACGTTCTTTACCTTTAGCTAATGATTTTGATATTCTTCGATGTGGTGCATGTATCAAGGGTATGTTCTTTTTTATTGCTGAGTAGTATGTACGTCATATGCATATACCACAACTTTTTCATCCATCCATCTCATGATGGAAATTTGTTTTTTTCTCCTCAGAGTGGAATAGCTGGAACACATAGTAGGTATATGTTTAGTTTTTCTTTTTTTTTAGTGTAAATCAAATTTTATTTATTTTTCCCATGCAATAAACATTAATATTTCAAGAAAAACTATTTTAAGTATAATGTTACATGCTGTTTAGTTTTTAAAGTAACTGCCAAACTTTTTTAAAGTGGTTGTACCAGTTTCCTTTCCACCACCATTGTATGAGAGTTCTAGTTACTTCACATCCTCACCAACACTTGGTATGGTCAGTGTGGAACTGTAGAGAAAATATTTTTGTTTCTGCATGGCTAGTAATTTCTGAACAACTTTTAGTGGAACTTGGGTGAAAAGATAAGCCTCAGGTTAGTAAGAGATTTTCCTCCTTAGAGGAATGTGTTTACAGGTCAAGTAATAATAAGCTCAGGGCTGTGGAGACATTCCAGGGCTTGGAAACCCAGAGAGGCTTCTGATCTTCCCCTTGGAGACATACATTTACATACCATGGTTTTGGACCTGCAGCCATTTGTCCCTTTTTATAATTGATTTTTTTTTTTTTTAGAGAGAGAGAGAAAGGAAGGGGGAGAGAGAGAGAGAGAGAAACATTGCTGTGAGAGTGAAACATCGATTGGCTGCCTCCTGCACGCTCCCTACCAGGGATCAAGCCCACAACCCAGGCATGCACCCTGACCAGGAATTGAATGGCAACCTTTCTGTGCATGGACGATGGACACACAACCCACTGAATCACACTGGCCAGGGCAGCATTTGTCTTTTTCTCCCCTCTAAAGTATATTTTATTGATTTTACAGAGAGGAGGGGGAGAGGAATAGAGAGTTAGAAACATCGATGAAAGAGAAACATCGATCAGCTGCCTCCTGCACGCCCCCTACTGGGGATCCAGCCTGCAACCAAGGTACATGCCTTTGACCATAATGGAACCTGGGAGCCTTCAGCCTGAAGGCCGATGTTCTATCCACTGAGCCAAACCGGTCAGGGTTCATTTGTCTTTTTTATGGTGAACTATTTGCTCCCATCCAAAGACTAATGAAACTCACCTGCTTACATTTCTGTGGTAGATACCCAGGATTCTTCCCTTCTCTCTTCCCAAAGAAAATTTTTGGCACCAAGGAAGCAGATGTGTCTCTCCTCTCTCAGGAGGTGCTGCGGGACTGCTGCCACTCTCCTATGTAAACTCCCAGATTCACAATGTTACGGGACAGGAACCAGACCCAGAGCATGTTTGTTGTGGGCTAGCCAGTAATGTGGGGGTTCTTGATTTTGTGCAGGAAAGATTTCACAATATGAGTCCAGGTGATTTTGAGAGTACTTTCAATAAAGCTGGGACAGTGAAACAAGGGAGGTCTTAGGATAGAAGAAGCAACAGGCAGGACTGCTTTGGTTCACTGAAAAGTCAGAGTAAAGGAGGCCTTGGAGACAGGTTCAGGGGGGTAGGCCGGGAAGAGCTGCAGCTGCCCAGTGCTCCCCTGGTTGCAAGACCCTTAGAATTTAGGAGATGCATGGCTGAGAGGTGAGAAAGGCTTGGGCATGATCCTGGGAGGGAGAGCATGCTGGGGTCCTTCATCTTGAGGGTTTTAAAGCCTGGGAGTTTGGGGGAGGATCTCAATAGAATATTCATCAGCTTTATGCTGATGCAGCAGAATGGGATTTACTCCCCTGACTTCATCGGTTCTTAGGTGTGCTTGGCACAAATGGCACTAATTGGATTTTTGTTATTTATCTCCCTGAGTAGGATGATTTAAGCTATTTACCTTCTGGTTGGGGAGAAGTGCAAACCATTTACTCTTAAGTGTCCTTGGTTAGGGAAGATAGGATTTGGTTATTTACTAGATGGCTGTAAACTGCGTGGCTATTTAACTGTCTGTCTCAGTTTCCCTGTTCTGCTTGTCCTGGCTTACTAGCCTGTCTCAGTAATTCTGGTGCTCCTCACCTGCATTACCAATCCCAACATGTGCAGGGTGATATCTGGGAGCCACATGCGGCTCTTTGGCCCCTTGAGTGTGGCTCTTCCACAAAATACCGACTTCTGCGCATGGGCCACGAAGTTTCAATCGCATGGGCCACGAAGTTTCAACAATGTACAGGGCTTACTTAAGGCAAAGAGAAACTTTTTGCTAACAAGTTATATGCCCAGGGCATGACTGCCCACCTTGACCGGCCCAGTTAGGAATTTATGATCAGATTACCCTGTGAGGTTACTTTCCATAGAACCCCTTTTTTAGTGCATAGGTTGTCTTATTATTGTTGAGTTGTTAATGTTATTTATTGTATTCCGGATACAAATTCTTTATGCATATATGTTGTGAATATTTTCCCCCATTCTTTGGCTTGTTTTTTTTTCTTCCTAATGATGTCTTTTGAAAAGCAAAGTTTTTGAATGTAATAAAGTACAACTATTGATTTCTTTTATGGTTCATACTTTTGTGTTTTTTCAAGAAACCATTGTCTATCCAAATTTGCAAAAATGTTCTTCTTTGTTTTTCCTATAAGTTTTTTAGTTTTAGTTGTTACATTAGGTCTATGATTTATTTTGAGGTGATTTTTTAGTATAGTGTGAAGCGCTATATTGTTTCTGTTTTCTTAGGTTGTCTCTGAAATTTGACGATGCTGAAAATCCCAAAGGTCTTGAGATAAGGTAGGTATGGATACCACTTTGGAGTTCTATAGGTTCAGCACTTCAGGTTAGTTCCATATAATTTATTCATTCAACATGTAAGTACCAAGGGCCTGCTCTGTGCTAAGCAGTGACATGTGAAATGTCACAGCTACCTAATTACACTGAAAAGCCGGTGGTGTTCTGTGATGGGATCTTATAGTCATGCTTTCTTTAGTTTTTACTAAAGCATCTGTAGTTTCCTCATTTAGGGACCTAGAGAACACATGAACACATGAACGTGAGAATGTGTAACCATTTTCACCTGAGCAAAGAATAAAATATATTTAAAACTCCAAGAGCTAAGGCTCCAGTTTGAAGTTATTTTCTGCATGGCTCTTTACAGTGAATCACACATCATTTAATGATAATGAAAAAGTGTCTGTTAGCTGAATCCCCCAGTGGACAGTCGGCACAGGCCTACGTTTTTCTGTGTTTATGTATGGAAGGATATAGCTGCCAAAAGGGATTTATCTAAGCAGTTGGGAACTGTTCTAAGGAAGGGGAGAGGGCAGCAATTTTAAGGGATTGCATTTTTTCCTTATAAAAATACTAGAGGCCCGGCACACGAAATTCGTGTGCGGGTCCGGTCCCTAGGCCTGGCCTGCAATCAAGGCCATCTTACCCAGCTGCCCGCAGCCGGCCCCACCCCCCGCCAACACCTAACCCCAGTTCCCCGTGATCGGTGCTTGATGGCCAGGGGAAGGGACCCAGAGGTTGGCTATTCCCACCTGCTTGCCGGCCCTGCCCCCACAGTGGGTGGCCATGAGGTGATTGGAACCTGCCAGCCAGGGAAAGAGACCAAGAGGTGGTCAGTGCGCCTCATAGTGACTGGTCCAGTGGTCATTCTGGTCGTTCTGCCATTAGGGTGAATTTGCATATTACCCTTTTATTATATAGGATAATGTTCCCCTTCCTGTAAGACCAGGCTTTCAGTGGAGGTAGTGGCTTTGTCTTTAACATTACTTGCAAAACCAGCAGAACTTGTTAGGAGCAGTCTTCCCGGAGCTGTGTTCTATGAACTACTCCTGATCTGTGAAAATGTAAGATTCCTCAGAAGAGGCATTCTTTGGTCAGACATGTTTGAGAAAGACTGCACACCATGTGCGCCTCTTGGAGACTCACAGTGTAAATTTGTATTTAAATAATATTTTTTATTCTCACCTGAGGATATGTTTTTATTGATTATAGAGAAAGAGTAAGGGAGAGAGAGAAACATCTATGTGAGAGAGAAACACCCACCAGTTGCCTCTCATATGCACCTCGAGCGGGTATCAAACCCACAACCTAGGTATATACCCTGACCAGGATTCGAACCCACACCTTTTTGGTGTATGAGATGATGCTCTAGTCAACTGAGCCACCCGGCCAGGGCTAAATTTGTATATGAAGGTTCTGTGAAGACAAGCTCCTTAGGAAGATGGTTGTGCTTGGTGACTTTGATTCACATAGTGTTTACCACCTTCAACTTTGGAAAGCTCTCTCCTCAGAACACTTGTCTGCATATAATGGAGCACCAATGTTTCACTGCCCATATTGAGGTAATGCATGCCACTACCTTTCAGAGAAACTTTATGAGAAAAATAGAATCTCACAACATATCTAAACACATATACGTATCTGTTTGATATAGAAATGAATATTCTTTTATTCAAATCATCCCCCCCCCCCCGCAAAAAAAAAATAGCTTTCTGACTGTTTTTTTCCTGATGATAAAGATATATGGCAGACACTGTCAGTACCCCATCCATATCCCCTTGGGTGTTTCCATTTGAGAGCACTATCGTCCACCAGCCCTACTTTCAATTGCCAATCTTTCTTTGTCTGAAAGTTTCCTCTGCCCAATCAGACCCACCGCCTCCCCTCCCTACCCCAGAAATCCTCAGCCAGTGACTGACAGGTGTAGAAATATCCCAGCTCCCTCACCTTCTGGTGATAACTCACAAGCATGTGTTCCCCTTTGGAGCCCAACGTCCCAGGGTTCCCCATAGGCATTAGGCCCGTTGCCCACGGTGGAAACTCGCTTGATAATGTGTCCTTTTGGCTGCCTTCCATTCTTTTTTTTATTTCTCTTCTCTCCATTCTACATCTTTTGAATGACTAAATTACCAAATTAATTTTGGGCCACCTTCCAAAAATACTTCTTGTATTTATATTCTTGTCTCAAGGTCTGCTTCTGTAGGAGCCCAAGCTAAGACAAGGTAATAATACATGTCCATTGATAACAGAAAATTCAGAAAATATTGAGATATAGAAGATGAAAGTCATCCATAATTCAACCACAGTTTATAATCACCATTAACATTTGATCATGTATTTTTTTTATGTGAAAAATGATCACAGCAGATGTACATTATAATGTGTTTATGGCTGGAGAATATGCAATTCTACAATAGCTAAGAATCAGGGCTCTTGTCTGCAGATTGACTTCAATGCCCAGCTCCAATACTTACTCTCTGAGTGAACTTGCACAAGTTATATATTTAACCCCTCTGTGTCTTAGATTCCTCATCTGTGAAATGCGGATAATAATATTATCTATCTTTATTGTTGTAGTGGAGATGAAATAAGATGTATATGAAAAACATAGAGTACTCAACACAAAGAGCCATTGCTGTTAATTTTGATCATTATTTCTTTAGCTAATTCTATATTGATGTCCACTTAAGTTTTTCTCAATGTTTTTAGCAATAATAAAATCAAGTGTTAATTCCAAAACAGAAAAAAGCCAATATTTTTGTGTTTTTCCTTTTGTAGGAATTGTATTGCTACAATCTGGGGGCTGCCTGGTCTTTTGCTTTCATTCCCACCCAGCAGGAAGCTCTTGTTCAGAACCATCCTAGACTCTCTCTTTGAGCCACTTCTTCTATCTGACAAAAGAGGGCGAGATTGCTCTGTTTATAGATGATGTTCTGTGTCAGCAAGTGTAAAAGTGCTTTGGGGGTAATACTGTTTTATATTTGTTTTCAGATTCACTCTTACCAATTACAACAAGTTTTCTCTGCAGAGCTGGTTTAGTTTGCACCGAGTTGAGATTATTTTTAATAATTCAATCCAAGCAACTTTTAATGCAACTGGCATATATGCTCCGTCAAGTTATTCCTACCACTGCCAGCACGTCAGCAGCCAGCAGCAGTATGATGCCCTCCTGCTGCCCAGCGACATGGATGATATGTCAAGCCTGTGGGAGGTCACTTTCATTGATTTCCAGGTAATAAACTATTATACATGCTCCTGTGTGTTTTGTGCCAGAGAAACTCAGTATTTGTTTGAAAACACCTGACATAGAAACATAGGTGTTCAAGGGAAAAAGAGAAGTGGATACGTTTAAAATAGTATTTCTTTTTCTTTATCCTCCAAGTCTAACATGAGAAATGGAATAGGATAGTCTTTCCTTTCCCTGCATACGCCCCATCCCTCTTGATTTTACATTTAGGTTTATCCATTCACTAACAGATTATCAGTGAGGAATGCCAGCAATCTAAGCCCCAGTGAGGCTGTGGCCCAGAGCCCAGTCACTGACACTTCCTGGAGTGAGAAGCCCTTCTAGGGAAAGGAATTACCAGACAATTATTTTATTTCCTTCAGGGAGTGGAGCAGTGATCCTATCAGGGCAGATAAGAAGTATATCTATAGTGTGAGTGACAGCTTTGGCAGTTAGCGTAGGAATGGAGCTGTCAGCCAGGGAGTCAAAAATATCTCAGAGATCCTCTTGAAAGTATTTGGGGAAAGGCATGGGGGCATAAGAGGTTCCTTTTCACCACCAGGATCTCAGGCTCAGAGATGTCTGTCAAGTTCTTTTGTCCTGTTTACCTGTGAAAAAAGCTTTAACTTGTTCTTGCAACTCACTGAAATAGCAGGCAGGGTTGTCCCTTTTCCAATCTTTCACATATATATTTACCCCCTCCCCCCAGCTTGGAGAGGTATGGTGTTGATGAGAGGCGATTTGGCATAGGGAAGGAGCTTGCATTTTGGAGCCTGACAGTCCTGGTTTCCAATTACTTCTCAGCCACCTGGGCAAGTTACTTCACCTTCTCAATTTCAGATCTATCTTTATGGATGTAAAGAATTCATGGCCTAATATATGTAGCAACACCAGGACCGTGTCAGGCGTGGATTAACAATACTACTTACGAGTCCCATCTGTGTGTCAGCCTGTTGCAGTTATTTTTCCAATGAGGTGACTGGAGCACTGATTTGCATCATTTTTCAAAATGACATAACTGGTAAATGGTAGAGACAGAATTTGAATTCTGGACTGTTTGGCTCAAAGACACTTTAATACATATTAAACATATATTTAATCTATTTTAAAATATATATATACACACACACAGTATATATATCTTGCCCCTTTAAAAGAGAAGCAGGCAGAAAGGGCAATGAGGTGGTAATAATGAAAACAAGGAATAACTCACACACAGTTTCACCTAATTAGAACAGAGGAAGTGACTGATCTTTACAAAAATATATTTTTATTGATTTCAGAGAGGAAAGGAGAGGGAGAGAGAGATAGAAACATTAATGATGAGAAAGAATCATTGACCGGCTGCCTCCTGCATGCCCACACTGGGGATTGAGCCCACAACCCGGGCATGTGCCCTGACCGGATATCAAATCGAACCATGACCTCCTGTTCATAAGTCGATACTCAACCACTGAGCCACACCAGCTGGAAAGAAGTGACTGATTTATGCCTCCACCTTGTTCCAGAAAGGACTTAAGATGACTCATACACATACTATAATAAACATAACTTTGCAAAATAGGCAAAGACATGAAGGTTAAGAAAACCAAAGGAAGAAAAGATCAGTTAGATCTGGTGAGGTTGGTACATAGAACCACAAGACCATCTGTGCGCCCTGGCTAGAAGAGGCTCAGTCATTTGATCCTGAAGCTTTGGAGCAGCCAGAATAAGAAAGACTCACCCAGTTACGTGCTCGTGGGGTCCATAAGACTACTAAAAGTGTGTGTGTGAGGAGCACGTCCGTCCCTGGTGCTGTGCAATAAATAGGTGCCAACATTTTGGACAGCAGCCTTGGTGTGAACACAGCAATCTCCAGTCCAGAAAATGGATGGAGAACATATCGTTCAGGCAGTCTCTGTAGATACTGTTTGATTCAACCAAGTCTTGTTAAGAATGACATGGCAGTCAGTGTGAGGACATTCCCTTGGGCTAGAGTTGCAGCATCAGTGAGTCCATCATTCGTAACTGAGGAGCTTGACTCTTCAGGCGCTGATCTGGAGACTGGCCACTTTACCTCTTCATTGAGGGGGCAGGCCAAGGGTCGCAGAAGCCGGGCCAAAACTCTCCTTCAGAAGCTGTTTTGGATTCAGTCTAGAGCACAGACAATTGGAGGAGCAAGGCCCCTAAGGTCTGTGGCATGATGAGTGGCTACAATCACTTTAGCATGGAAAAATGCTACCATGCCCACTTACATCATAAAAATGAATTCTCAGTAAACCACATGGATAATTCAATTTCCTGATGTACTTCTTTAAAATTAACTAGGTGACTGAGTGAAGGGACACAGTGCAGCGTTACGTTCTAAAAGCCAGCTACATGTGGGGCTGCCTTCCACAAAAGATTGCTCCCTTCAGAGTAGTTGCTCTGCAGCCTTGTTTCTTTCATTGTGATAGTATTTGGATGTCAGGGCCAGTTGTTGATTTGAGCTCTCCTTGTTCCAACTAATTAAACCACTTCATTGTGCATATGGGGAAGCTTTCCTTTCTATTCTCTGGGTAGGATGCAAGGAAGGACTGCTATACAGCTCTTCCAGAAACAGTACCAAGTCAGTAGGGCACAACAGATAAAGAGGGAGAGGTAGTGATGGGAGGGAGAAGAGACAGATCACACCAGGAGTTATGGGGTAGGAAGTGACTCTGAAGCCAGACTGCCTAGGTTTGAATTATACCTTTACTATACGTAATGTCGTGTGACTGGGCAAGTTACTTAACTTTTCTGTGCCTCAGTCTCCTCATCCATAAAATAGGACTAGAATAATAATGTACTCACAGGCTCCTGTAAATGTTAAGTGAGTTAAGGCAGCATTAAACCTTAAATAACTGTTAGCTTTTAATATTTTCTGTTTTATGTCATTGGAAATCATGTTATCTTCCCTTAAAAGAGTCTTCCTGTCTAATTTCTATCAACAGAATCAAAGGTAGACGAACTAAGACTTAAAATTCTTTGTGAAATTTATACTAAAACATAAAATTTGAGTGTGTTTGAATTTTAGAGACACTACAGCAGTTGTGGTTTTAGGTGAATGAGAACATTTCTTAGAGTCTGATTAAAAGAAGTTTTATTTTAGATCCTTGGAATAAAGGTTTTATTTCAGAGCCTTGAATTTCATGAGCTTCTTAATTATGGCAGTCATACATCCTAGAGGAGTTTCTGGGTCAGTCTTGATTTAAAAGTCAGTTTCACTGTCCTGTAAGCACACTCACACTTGTTAGATCATGGGCTTAAATTATTCTATAAATATGAGGCTAATTAGGGGTCCAGAACCCCAGCCTGACTGGGAAATATATCTTAGGAGAAAATTTGTCATTTTAGCTCTTCTTTTTCTTTCTCTTTTCTTTTTTAAAAATGTATTTTTATTGATTTCAGAGAAAAGGGAGGGAAATAGAGATAGAAACATCAATGATGAGAGAGAATCATTGATCAGCTGCCTCCTACATGTCCCCTACTGGGAATCGAGCCCGAAATCCGGGCTTGTGTCCTTGACCGGAATTGAACCCTGGAACCTCCAATTCACAGGCTGACGCTTTATCCACTGAGCCAAAACAGCTGGGGTGTCTTCTCTTTCTCCTGACAGATCCAAGGCTTTACCATGAATGGGGCACAGTTTGCCAAGGCCCGAGACTGTGCCTCTCCCTTCTCACCAGCTATTCTGATTGGCCTGGCCATGTCCTTGATCCTGCTGCTGGTTCTGGCCTATGTCCTACACATGCTCATCTACCTCCGGCATCTGGACAGGCACTACGACTTCATCACCTCTCCGGCCCACTTCCCCCAGCTGAAAGCTCCAGATGCAGCAGAAGAGAAGGAGCTGCTGAGGAGCCAGGGAGTTGAAAGCTATGAACTGAGAACCCAACAGATCTGCAAAATGTACGTGTAGTAGCCCAGGCATCCCCTCCTACGAAGTCCACAGGGGGCTTAGAAAGGAGTTGTTTCTATTCTGTGTTGTTGGACTTCTGATGCACAGTTTTGACCAAATGGCTTGATTTTTTAAAAAGTAAATACATGTAAAAAATACATAAGTATCCACTCACCTACTGAAGTAAACTTGGGGCAATAAAAAGGAATTGTCAGGAATCCCACAAATCCCACAAAGATAAATATGATGGTTCATTGCCCCAAAGCTACTTTGAAAGCAAGCGGATGTTTGAAGTTAGGGAGATGAAAAACACACAAAAAACACACCAATGCAATACGAAGAAGGGAAAACACTTGTTCCTTCTTGCCTGTGCCAGTTTGGATGTGATAAGTGTAGAAATAATAAATCCAAGGTTATCTGGAAGATCTGAATTTAAAATACTTTGTAACATAGTTTGCATTTTTCATAAATTATGTCACAATTTTGTTTTCAAAACTAGTCTTTTTTTCTCATTCATACAACTGTTTAGTGGGACTCCTATTAGTATAGTAGATCACTTTATTTAAGGTGATTTTTTTAAGAAACTAAGCTTTAAAAAATATATGTATTTTTATTGATTTCAGAGAGGAAGGGAGTAGGAGAGAGAAACATCAATGATGAGAGAATAATTGATCAGCTGCTTCCTGCATGCCCCCTACTGGAGATCAAGCCCGCACACAACTTGGGCATGTGCCCTGACCAGAAATCAAACCATGACCTCCTGGTTCATAGGTTGATTCTCAGCCACTGAGTCACACCAGTCTGGCTCAAAGGTTTTCTTGTCACTTATTTTGCTATTCAGAGGAAGCCCAGTTCAATCTGTGAAGTAAGGGTAGTAATCCTGGTAGCATTTTTACCTTTTCTATCTGGTTGTGATGTGAAGGTTCACCCTACTTGTCTGATTTAAACCTCCATTAGCTCCCCTGGGTGCCACTTGAAACAAACAACTGAGCTAAGTAAGAACAGTGTATTTGCTAGGCAAACACAGCTTCAAGGCAAATCCCCTGAACCCACTTCCAATGAGATAGTATCCCCTAAACTCTTCTTTAATAGGAAATCTGTTGCCACCACTAATCTATCTCCCATTTCTTCCACATGGATTTCCCCATAATCTTTTTCAGTTCTTAGCAGATACTGGAGATTGGCTCACTCTGCATCTTCACCAAAACCTCTCTAATAGGCCTTCTGTGTTAAAGAGATCTTAACTATAAAAGGTACATTGCATTTCCCTAACGAGGTTTCTATACATGACCTTGCTTCAACTGATACCCTCGCACAAAACGTAGACTGCAGATAGGAACAACGTGGGAAGCAGCGGTGGCGGGGGGAGGCGGGGGGGAGGGTGGGGAGGGTGGTGTCAGGCACAGGGAAATTGGATCTTCAGGGCAGTTGTGCAGATGGATAATCTAGTCTCAAATAGCAAATGACAATGGCTGTGGGATTTCTGATAGAACAGTCTCATGTTGGACTTTCTTCTGGCTGCATTCTTGATTGTGAATATAGGTTTGGTTCCAGCCCTCTCAGAATTCTGTAAGCTTCTAAAACTGTATGGTGAATTCCTTTCTGTTTTAATAACAGAATTTAATTAATTATGTTTTAATAGATTGTGTAGTCTACAACCAAGAGTCTTGATTTATGTACTTATTAGTACAAAAGATGATTGTAGGGAACAGACCTTCAAGAAAATGGGAATCTGGGATTATCTGACTCTGTTTGACTTAAAACCAGTGAGGATTCTGTTAGCATTAGAGAATAGAAAATTGATAGCCCATACCATTCCTTAATGAAATAGATTTGCACTGTGGTCGCCTTGATAGTCCAATGGTGGTACAGATGGCTGCTGTGTTAGGTTATAGGCCCATGAAGAGTAAACATAATTTACTGTTCAAATAGGAGGTCACTTTTGAAAGTGAAAGGGAGTGTCAACAATTGCAAGATAAGATACATAAACAGGATGGTGCCACACAAGTTGGGATATAAAATCACCCCAGGTATGGGTGATACCCTGAGGGAAGGCTGGCTCTTTCTATCTGGGCTGCAAGGCTTACAGAAAGAAAATAATAGCTCAGGATTTTAAATTTGCAGCTCAAGGTGAAAAATCTGGGGAGTTTCTGTGACTGATTTACAAGGATCTCTCATCTCTTGTCAAGGGGCTGACAGTTGAAAATCAGACCGAAGTCTGATCCTGCAAATTGGTAAATTGCATTGCAGGTAGAATTCATAGCTTGCCAGGCCTCTTATATGAACACGAGAGCATTGATTACAAAAGAGAGGAACCTTGAAATAGGAATGGTAACTTTTGGGAGAATTTAGATGACTTTAAGGAGGTTGACCCTCCAAACTCCACTGAGGTTTTCTTGCTGGCAGAAGTAGCCCCCGAGAGAAGAGTCTATTCCCGCCTTGCTTGAAAACTCCGCGAAGGGCCTCACCAGAGGTAGTTACTTGGCTAGTGTGTGCCATTTTTCTTCAATGCCTCTAGGCAAGTAGAGTCATGTTCTAGCATATCCCAGGGAACCAATTGCAAAGTCAAATCTGAGAAAATAAAATTGCAAGGGTTTGCTAATTTATGCAGACTTGGGGGAATATATGTGGGAATGGATTCTGAAGGTGCTAACTCAGAGAGTGAGGTGTATAATTTTAGATTGGGCTGAATTTTTTTTGAGATAGTTTTTCTTACTAGATTTTGGAATAAATGTGCTGATTTGAACAACTGGGAATATTTTTAACAATTTTTTTCAGTTAGTTGATTAAAATTTGGACTCAACAGTGGCATACACTAAATGAAGTTGATACCAGAAATCCCTTGGCATGATATAGAGAAATAAAATAAATTTAATAACATAGAAAATTGGGATGTAGGAATAAATTTATCATACTTTCCCCTACATAATTATTTTCCTCTGTGAAGGCCTAGAAAACATTTCTTTTTGTCATAACACTGTATAATACATTGGGAACATAGCATCGGCATTTTTGAAGCACTGTAGTGGCTGCCTCTGTGAGCTGTAGGGGAAGGTAGGAGATACTATCCTAGAAGTGGAATCCTAGTCTCAGTAGGGATGCTGGGATTCTGGAATGGCAGAGGTCAATTAGCAGCCAGCAACCTCAAAGGGCTGAAGGGCAGGAGTGTTAATCAGATTAGATTATGTTTATTAATAGTAAAATAATTTATGAAAAATCCACTGAAGTGCTGCTGCTGCTGCCTCTTCTTCTCTTTCTCCTCCTCCTCCTCCTCCTCCTCCTCCTCCTCCTCCTCCTCCTCCTCCTCCTCCTCCTCCTTATTCTTCTTCATTATCATCATCATCTAATTCTGGTTTAAAAAAACCTTACTGAGCCATCATAGTGTCTTCCTAGAGCTGAGACTGCTTGTAACTCAGACTCCTTGAATGAAATAGGGACCTCGTTAAAAAGGATTTATGGTCTTCATATCTAATGTTGAGCATTCTCATAAACAGTTTTATACTTGTCAATTGGTTTCTGTATTTTTACATTACTTATGGTGTGTTCCGATCTTTGGTAAAGAATTTACACTGTTCCCATGGATACCTTTATTATCAACCCAACAGGTATGTGATTATTGCCCTGAAATTGTTATTACAGGAGAATAGCCTAAGAGATGTCCGTCTTCCTGGGACGTCTGGAACAATATGGCAAAGAAAGTGATGTTTGATAGGAGGAGAAGTTGACCAGGTAGGTAATGTGGAGAAGGACAAAACATAGCAAAAGGAAACATATATGTAAATACTGGACTTTACCATGTGCAGAGAACTATGCAATACATGTATGTGGGTAGGGACATATAATGTATTTAGAGGAATGAAGAGAGGGAACAGATGATTCCAATTCTGTTTAGCACTCAACTAAATAATTAGAATCTTGACTTCAGGTAATGGTGAGGCCCCCAAGAGGATTTTAAGCAAGATAATTACATGGTATGTAAGTGTGTATAGAATAAGATAGAAATGGCAATCAGGAGATTATTGCAATAGTTCAGACAGAAAATGATGGGACCTAAACTAAGACAATGGGGTGGGAGGAAAGAGCTACAAGAGGTATGTAGGAGGTTGGTTCAAAAAGGCTTGGCAAACATTGGCAAAACACAAATGACTGGTAGGTATCTTATGTGGGGTGCTGGGTGGATGGTGATGCCAGTCTCTATAATCAGGGAGAAAGGGATGAAAGGAGTGGGACCTGTAGGCAGGTCCTATAGTAGAGTTCCAAGTATGAATCTGGGACCATACGTTTATAGAAAGGTCTTGACTAGAAAATTGGAAATGTAGCAGAAGCTGTCACCCACATACCTTTACCATTTCAGTGTATCCTGGTGGCCCCTTTTCCATTGCCAATAACTACCCTCAGAGGTAGCTCTACCTGTGTTCATGGAACGTTAGAAGCACTGAAGAATTAATGCCCTCCTTGGAGTAGTCTTCATCCAGTGACTCTTAGGAGTTGTATATAAATACTCCAGTCATTTGCCCCTTGACTGAGATCATTCTAGAGTGTCTTTTACACCATTTCCTGGAGTTCCCAGCAAGACTAAACTTTTGCCCATTGTGATATCTTGCTTGATAATGTTCACTTTATTGATTTCCTTCTCTGCCCTGTTTTACTTCCCTGCTTTCCTAATGATATTTCCTCGTGTCACCTCCAAAATAAAGGAGTTGTATGCAAATTCTTTTCTCAGGAGCTCAAATTAAGTCAAGCACTGATGGGTATAGGGGGAATCGAGGTGGTAGTGATGATGGAGAAATGAATGAGATCACCGGAGGAGAAAAGATAGGCTGATAATAGATTTCAGAGGACCCATCATTTATGGAGTCAGATGAGGAGAAATCTGAAAAGGAGCTAGAGTAGGAGCAATCTGAGAAGGAAGAAGTCAAACCATGAAAAGAGTAGTGTCTCAGAAATCAAAGGAAAAAACTTTCAAGATGAAGGGAATAGTTAGTCATGTCAAATGCTGGTGAGAGGTCAAGCAAGAAAAGAACTGAAAAATGTTTATTCCTTAGATTTAGCCAATAGGAGATCATTGATGAACATCACACTTGGAGATAGTTTAAAGTATTTATTCCCCTGGTTTCCTCCCCGGGGGAATACCTTAGACTGGTTACATTGCTTCTGTCAAGACGTGCTCTGCCACATGACTCTCTCCTTCTGGCTTTTAGTAACTTCTCCTTCCCTTGTTCCTTTGGGCTCAGAGATGGTAACAAGTCCATTGCTACTAGCCCCAGGTTACTATACTGTTCCTTGTGGATCTCCTATACCCTACTGGGATCTTCATAAATGGTCCCTTTGTATATAAACCCTCCTTAAATTTGAGAGTGCTCACTTCCTGTTGGGTTTCAGTCTTATATAGAGGTTTACACAAATTAAAATTTATTTGTTGCTTTGTTTGTTTTATATCTAGTAATTTTTCAGAAAATTTAAAACAGCTATTTTAATAAGATGGAAGAAACTTGAGTATGTTGTAGGGTAAGACAGTAGTTCTGAGGTTGTGGTGTTTTGTTGTTGTTTTTCCCTGCTGTAACATGAACAATGATGTTCATATGTGGAATACACTGCCTTAGACATGCCCACATATCCTTACGCTTTGCCCCAACTTTCCATGTGTAACTGAAATAGGTAGCTGCAGACAATTCCCAGGTAACAAACCGAGGCTTTCTCACTGACAGAGCATATCACAATCTAAGAAAGCCCTTGGATATTCTCTAATTCATGCAAACAGTATAAAAATAATTGCTAACAAGCTGCATGGGCACCACATCAAGTTAATTGCCTCTGTAGCTAGGAGCTCCTGGGTTAGAAGGGAGGAACCAGGGTGTATACAGATTAAAAGTATATTCTAGAGAGGAGAGAAAACTGATGGAACAAAGTCCTCAGAGAAACCTTAATGTTACAGATTTCCTTGTGGGGCTGGTGGAGAAGCCACTTTGTCCTTCTCGGTGGAGGCACACAGCCTTCTGTGAGAATCCCGAAGAGTCGTCTCTTCTGCCCTGTTCCTGCTTGTGCTTTCCATGCCCTTACACCTCAGAGGTAGAAAGATACAGAAATGAATAAATCCAGCTTTTCTGTCACTTTTTGGGATAATCTGCCTTTATATCTGATTTTTCTCTTATAAGTGTAAGGATATGTGGGCATGTCTAAGGCAGTGTATTCCACATACGAACATCATTGTTCATGTTACAGCAGGGAAAAACAACAACAAATTGCAGTGTTTGCTGGATGATGCTTTCAGTTACTGAGTGCAATGGCATTTTATAAGGACCAAAAGGTACTAGAGCAAAATTTCTAGTTCCAAATGAATGGAATTGAAAATGTGGTTTGGACCTTCTGATATTTTATGCAGGAAAAATAGGACAAATGTAGGTGGTCTGGTTTAGTTGTTTATAATGGTTATTATTTTGCAACACATGTAAGCCTGATGCTGGCCACCTGGTTATTTCAAAAGCCTATGGCCTTCAGGCATCAACCTATTAGTTTATTCTCCTAATAAAATGGCTTGAGTCCCCTTAGTGTGAGAAATAAATCTGCTCCCCAAGACAGCTGAGAATTAGCAGGAGGGTGGATTGGTGACTTGAGCTGGAGTGACTTATTTTTGTTTCTTCAATAGTTCAGGTTTCCGGTCTCTGTTGATTTTCAGTTACCCCTCTGGTGGCCTCAGCTTCTCCTGTTGCTCTCAGTTCCTGCAGCTGCTGTCTGACATTGACATGAGCATCACAGACTTTTTCTTTCCTTTTTATTGAATTTATTGGGGTGACACTGATTAACGAAGTTATACAGGTTTCAGGTGCACAATTCTACAACATATCATCTGTACACTGTATTGTGTGTTCACCACCCCAAGTCTCCTTCCATCACCTTTTATCCCTCCTATATCCTCCTTTACTTCCCTCCAACCCCCTGACCCCCATGCTATTGTCCACATCCATAAGTTTTCTTTCTTTTTTTTTTTCATTTTTGCAACATGAGCATCATAGATTTTTTTAATGAAAGTTAGAGAAAAATAGGATAGCTATAGCATAGGGAAGGGAATCATTTCAAATTCTCTTTTTATGGATGTTTAATACTATTCCCTATCATAGGGAATTTCTCACCGGCCATCTTCCTCTTTTGACCTTGAACTTTCACCATCTTGGAGACTTCTATTCTTCTTCCCCCACATTCCACACCTTGCCCTCCACCACACCTCAGTCTTAGAGGCTGGGTCCTAAAAACCTCACTTTTCATAATCAATTTTGCTCAGTATGGTGTTGCTCTTAAAGAAAAGAGCCTTTCTCCCTCATCAGAATTCTTTCTTTTTAATCCACCCAGGTCAAACTCAGCCACTTTAAAATAACAACTCTTCATCTATTGATATCCCTCCCTCCCTTTTCCCTCTCTCCCCTTCATCTATCCATCTGTTCATCATCCATTCCTCTGTCCACTCATCCATCCTGTTACATCTGTAAGATGAATGTGGTTTTACAATATTAAAAAACTTAAAAGATGTTTAAAAAGTCTATAGAGAGTGGAACAAAAGTATGTTTACAGTTATTTGTATGGAAAATAATACAATAATTTATAATACAAGCATAAACTGTTGTGTGTCCTCACAGCTGTAAACTTACTTTTGCGCCCCCCCACCCCCCCTGTATATTAAGGCCCTGAATGATGCATACTCACTCTTCACTTTAAAGTTATAACAAAAGTTTAGAAACATGAAGAAAATAAAAGTTTTTGTTCTTAGAAAAATACTTAACCATAGAATGCATGTTATTGCAAGTTTTGGTTAATAAGTTAAACTTTATTTCCAACTATTCTCAGTGATAAAGTGTTTCCCAAAATGTTCTTTATTTTTTTTTTTAATCCAGCAATGGATCATTCTGAGTAAAACTCATCTGGCCCTGAGTTTGTTGTCACATTTATGTGAGGCATTAGATTTAGAAGCCTAGTCAGAAGTATCAAGTTCTTCTCCTTAAGCAAGACATAGTCTTGTTCCCACGTCCATGAATCTTTCCAGTAAGATCTGAACATCTCTCTAAGTGTTATTAATTTTTCTATTCTTTAGGAGGGTCCAGGTCCAGGAAATATGCTTGTAGAGATTTGGATAAATGTTCTAATCTTAATTAGTCTCCCTCCCTTTCCTGAGCTCCCAGGCCCTCGATTCCATCCCTCTTCGTGTTGAGGGTGTGCATATTCGGAGGCCGAGCCTGATTTCCCAGTACAACCCCCCACCTCACAGTGATAGTTTCTGAATGCAGACTACAGTGAAGACTGAATGGCTGAATTCACTTCATGTTTATATGCCTTATGGGCAGAATTCAGGACTTGCCAACCTTCTCCATTTGTTTGGAGTTTACATTTATTTCATCCTGCAGCTGCAAAAGGGTTTTATGTTTGTTTTCAGGGAAATCAACTCTGAACTGACCTTAGTAAGTGTAGAGACAGACACAGATTTTGAAACACATACTATTTAGAAGACCCTCATTAGGAAAATGAATATAAAATCACAAATATAAATTTGGCACAAAGATGATTATGTATTTAGAAAGATAAAACAGATTTTAATTAAAAATATTTAAAGTTGGCTACATTTGAAATAGCTTATTTTTATAGCTTTACAAAAATATACAATCCTAAGAACCCAATGTTAGGGACCCTTTGACTGCTATGGAAGAGACCTATACAAAGTGTGTGTGTGTGTGTGTGT